TTGAACCACTTGCTGAACACAGGGTATCTGATGGCCTGATATCATACCAATGTTCTCTAGTGTTCTCTGTCATTCAATATTCTCACTGCGATCCTCCTTTTCTTTAATTTTTTGCTCCTTGTTATAATTTCTGTTGGGAATTCGAGTGATATTGTGTGATGGAATTGTGCAAAACATATCTTAGATATTGTCATGGTCCCCGTGCCTGCTCGGCTGGCCCTGTGTGGCTACATGTTATGTTTTGTCTTTTCTCTCTCTCCTCTCTCTCTGCTCGCTGCCTGGGCGGAGCTCATTGTGAGCTCCCGGCCTCCACCACCTGTAGGCAATCACCTGTGGCTCCTCACCTTGTTTGCTCCCGCTACTTAAGGCAGTGACTGAGAGCACCTCGCCGCTGGACTATTGAATAACGCTCGTCAGTGCTACTTTAGCCTCAGCCAGTTTTGAGCTCTGTCCGTGAAAGTTCCGTGCTAACCCTTGTTCTCTGTATGCAGATTTCTCGTGTTTGGTTTGGAGACTCTGGACGCTTTTCCCGACCCCGCTCTGCACCCCTGGGAACCCTGGCCCCCTTCTCCTTCACCTGTATATAGTGCACCTGGAGTGTGTAAATAAACCTGTTTTTCTGAGATTTCAGTCTGCGCCGAGTCCTCCCTGCTCCTCCGTGACAGATATCATAGTTTTTAAAGAAAGATTTAAAAATCATTTGATCTCAAAATCATCTAAATTGCCTATAGGTGTGAATGGTTGTTTGTCTCTGTGTGTTAGCCCTGCGACAGACTGGTGACCTGTCCAGGGGATGGACATAGTTATGATTAAGTGATAATGCCTGTGGTAATGACTGCTTCCCTGCTAGACAACAGAAGTAATGTTTTTAATAATTGTTAAACTTGTGATGTAGTGAAAACCCTACTTACTCTAAAGTGAGGCCAGTCATCTCTGAAAGGTTTACAAGATAAATCTTAAAGGTCAAAAGGGGATCAGTTTTTCTTAACTGGCTTGGCGCATTTCTCCAAATATTAATCGCTCCCGCAACAGTAACACATCATGTTTGACCACAAAAAAACTCCAACCCAATTTTCCAACTCAAATATGCAAAGTTTTCATGTCAAAGAATAAGAAATTGTCACTAAAAACGAGAGGCTAATCTGATACTGTGTAAAAAATCATGAATAAAATATAATAAAGATAAAAAATATAAAAGATACACAGAAAATATCTTTAGTTTTATCCAATATCATTTCAGAGTGTGATGTAAATCTTGTACTCTGGCTAAGATGTTCGTTAACCTATAATCTGCATAATGTAAACTGTAATTTTTGTGGTGTGTTTTAAACTACAGTGGTGTGAAAAAGTATTTGCCCCCTACCTGGTTTCCTTTTTTTTCTTGTATGTTTGTCACACTTAAATGTTTCAAATCATCAAACAGGCGACATAAGTTTGGATTTTTTCCCTCTTAATAATAAACACCTTCATTAAGAAACTCCATTTTGTTTACTTGTATTATTTTTGTCAAATTTTTTTATTTGTTTGCTGTTCTGAAACACTGAAGTGTGACAAACACAAAAAATGAAAATGAGGAAGGGGAGCAAACTTGTCTCACCACTGTATGTTGGTCCTGCAATGCAATTTTTTGGTGGTTTTAGGGTAAAAAGATCGGGCTATAAAAAATGTTTCCATTTTATGACTAAAATAAATATTTTCTTGCACTTAAGATTTATTGAACAGTACACAATATCAAATACATGCATTCTTTTAGAATCATTTCAGATAAGGAAGCAAGAAAACTAAGTGATATATTAGATGCATCACAATGTGCTGGAGTAAAAACGCAGTTGTGGGACTGCAACCGGAGTCAAAATAAACAATGTGACCACCAGTGAGCTTTAATAATTGATAAATTGTCAAACGAGCAAAATCCCAAATACATGCCCTGCAAAGGCCAGGTTTGTTTGCTTATAGAGATATTGAAAGGGCTATACACTTCAGCTTTACAGTCATTTAAAGAGCTTCCTGCTTTTGCTTTACAGTCATTCACAGAGCTGTATGCTTTTGTTTTACAGTTACTTAGAGGGCTGCATGCTTTTACCGTACAGCCGTTTAAGGAGCTGCACACTTTTATCTTACAGCCCCAGAAAGGGCCCCAGGCCTTTGCTTTACAGCGCTCCAAAGAGCTGCATGCTTCTGTTGTACAGCCGTTTAAAGGGCTGCACACGCCCCGAAGCAGTCCAGTTAAACGTAGCTGCATGCTTATGCTGCACAGTTAAAGGCAGCTGCATAACAAGAAGTGTCCTATGCCCATACTTTAGCAGTGCCATAACACTATCAAAGGTTTCTTCCTGATCCTCAGTGTTACGTTTTCAAACAGTATTAATCAACATGTGTTCATACAACAACTGGCACAAATCTTTCATTAATACAATGGTAGATATCCATCCATCCATCCATCTTCATCTGCTTTATCCGGGGCCGGGTCATGGGGGCAGCAGCCTAAGCAGAGAAGCCCAGACCTCCCTCTCCCCAGCCACCTCCTCCAGCTTATCCGGGGGGACACCAAGGCGTTCCCAGGCCAGCCGAGAGATATAATCTCTCCAGTGTGACCTGGGTCTGCCCCGGGGCCTCCTCCCAGTGGGACATGCCCGGAACACCAACCCCAGGAGGCGCCCAGCAGGCATCCTTGTCAGATGCCCAAACCACCTCAGCTGGCTCCTTTCGATGTGGAGGAGCAGCGGCTCTACTAAGAGGCCCTCCTGGATGGCCGAACTTCTCACCCTATCTCTAAGGGAGAGGCAAGCCACCCTTCGAAGGAAGCTCATTTCCGCCGCTTGTATCCGCAATCTCGTTCTTTCGGTCACTACCCACAGCTCGTGGCCATAGGTGAGGGTAGGGACGTAGATCGACCGGTAAATTGAGAGCTTCGCTTTTACACTCAGCTCCCTCTTCACCACGACGGACCGGTGCAGCATCCGCATCACTGCAGCTGCCGCACCACTGCAGCTGCCGCACCACTCTGTCTGTCTACCTCCGGCTCCCTTCTCCCATTACTCGCGAACAAGACCCCGAGATACTTGAACTCCTCCACTTGGGGCAGGAACTCATCCCCAACCCGGAGTGGGCACTCCACCCTTTTCCGGCTGAGAACCATGGCCTCAGATTTGGGAGGTGCTAATCCTCATTCCCGCTGCTTCACACTGGGCTGTGAACCGTTCCAGTGCGAGCTGGAGGCCTTCACTCAATGAAGCCAACAGAACCACATCATCCGCGAAAAGCAGAGATGAGATTCTGAGGCCAACGAAGTGAAAGCCCTCCGCCACTTGGCTGCACCTAGAAATCCTGTCCATAAAAATTATGAACAGAATCGGTGACAAAGGGCAGCCCTGGCGGAGCCCATCACCCACCGGGAACGAGTCCAACTTATTGCCGGCAATGCGAACCAAGCTCTTGCAACGGTTGTATAGGGATCGAATGGCCCGTAGCAATGGGCCAGACACCCCATACTCCTGCAGCACCTCCCACCTCCAAGGGACACGGTCGAATGCCTTCTCCAAGTCCACAAAACACATGTAGACTGGTTGGGCAAACTCCCATGCACCCTCAAGTATCCTTGAGAGGATAAAGAGCTGGTCCAGTGTTCCATGACCAGGACGAAAACCGCATTGTTCCTCCTGTCTCCGAGGTTCGACTAGCGGACGAACTCTCCTTTCCAGCACCCTGGCATAGACTTTCCAAGAGAGGCTGAGGAGTGTGATCCCCCTGTAGTTGGAACACACCCTCCGGTCTCCCTTCTTAAAGATGGGGACCACCACCCCGGGCTGCCAGTCCAGGGGTACTGCCACTGATCTCCACGCAACATTGTAGAGGCGTGTCAACCAGGACAGCCCCACAACGTCCAGAGCCTTCAGGAACTCGGGGCGGACCTCATCAACACCAGGGGCTCTGCCACCAAGGAGATGTTTAACTGCCTCAGTGACCTCACCCCCGGAAATTGGCGGGTCCTTCCCCTCATCCCCAGACTCTGCTTCCTCCTCGGAAGACGTGTCAGTGGGACTAAGGAGGTCCCCGAAGTATTCCTTCCACTGCCTGACAATTTTCTCAGTTGAAGTCAGCAGCGCTCCGCCAGCACTATACACAGTGCAGGTAGAGCACCGCTTTCCCCTCCTGAGACGCCTGACGGTTTGCCAGAATCTCTTCGAGGCAGTCTGAGTCTTTTTCCATGGCCTCTCCAAACTCCTCCCACACCCGAGTTTTTGCTTCAGCCACTGCCCGAGCCGCATTCCGCTTGGCCTGTTGATATCTGTCGGCTGTCTCCGGAGTCCCACAGGCTAACCAAGCCCGATAGGACTCCTTCTTCAGCCTGGTGGCTTACCACCATGGCAGGCACCAACCACCTTGCGGCCACAGCTCAATGCAGCAGCTTCGGCAATGGGGACGCTGAACATGGTCCATTTGGCCTCAATGTCCCCAGTCTCCCTCAGAATGCTATTGAAGCTCTGCCGGAGGTGTGCGTTGAAGATCTCGCGGACTGGGGCCTCTGCTAGACTTTCCCAGCACACCCTCACTATGCGTTTAGGTGCACCAGGTCTGTCCAGCGTCCTACCCCGCCACCTGATCCAACTCACCACCAGGTGGTGATCAGTTGACAGCTCAGCCCCTCTCTTTACCCGAGTGTCCAGAACATATGGTCGCAGGTCTGATAACAAAATCGATCATCGACCTGCGGCCTAGAGCGTCCTGGTGCCACGTGCACTTATGGACACTCTTATATTCGAACAAGATGTTCGTTATGGCCAAACTGTGCACAGAAGTCCAATAACAAAACACCACTCGGGTTAAGATCAGGGAGGCCATTCCTCCCAATCACGCCCCTCCAGGTCTCGCTGTCATTACCCACGTGAGCACTGAAGTCTCCCAGCAGGACAACAGAGTCTCCAGGTGGAGCACCTTCCAGGGACTCTAAGAAGGCTGGGTACTCTGAACTGACACTTGGCGCATAAGTGCAGATGACAGTCAGGACCCGTTCCCCGACCCTAAAGCGCATGGTAGATATATTTAACCTAAATATATGGGTCATATGATTTGAACATGCACGTTAGATGCTTAACACAGTGACTCCACTATATAAACCCTTCATTGTGAGTATGCATAGTATATATGAGTATATGTTATTAAACACAATTTATGAGAGTAACTATAATTACATGTCTAGTGTATACAGGTATATATGCCATAATAAAATTCAAAACACATTGTCGGGGGAGGAAACTCGAGAGACTTAATGAAAACAAAAAATCAAAGCAGGAATTCAGAAATGTGCACAGAAGTAAATAAAATGTAATACACTTAAAATAATAATAAAAAATAACACAAAAAAACCATCAACCTAAACCCAAACTGTAATATATTCATCGATAATTCCAAACCCAAAAAAAGCAATATGGCAGGGAGATGACAGAAGTAGCTGATAATTTTCTACAGCTTTACTTACACCTATTTCTCACTATTTGTCATTTACACACATGCTATAACTGCAAAAAAAAACAAAAAAACAAAACCAAAAAACAAGTATTTGTATTTAGAAGTATGAAGTAAAAGTGTTAAATATCATTTCTGTGTTGGATAAGGCTTAATGTTTAACTGATAAGTATTACATTAAAATAAATGCTCCCATCCAAATGAACCAAGAGTATACACATCAACTTAAAACATTAAATTATGATATTTAAAACATGCAACAAAATCAAAATGCTTTTGGAAACCGTAAGCTCAGACTCTTACAATTAAAACCATAAATCTCAGGTTTGAATGGGGAAATGCATTACATGCCTTTACGCTCTGCTACAAGTGATCAAAAACATACTGCATTTTTTTTTTTTTTTAAAAAAGAAAGAAATCAAAGCATGATTTAGACCCTTGTGATTAACACCTTATTATTAGCAGTTTTACCTAATATCTTAGTTAATAAGCAGTTTTAATTAATATCTATAATATTCAAATGCTCTGTGTATAAAATTCATTAAAAGTCAAAAGTACACATCAACATAAAATTAAAAGAGAGCAAAACAAATATTATTGTGACAGTATCTAAAGACCTCCTGTCTCTATCAGTGTTTCCTCAGGGATGTTCTGTGGGTCATCAGGCCTCAGCTGTTTCTGTGGAGCAAATCACATCAGCTTCTGGATGGATCAGTTGTATTGTAAATAAACACATTGTTCACAGTAATAAGCAAAATAGTTCATGATCAAAGCCCTTTAAACAATTTGTGAGATTTTAAGATTTACACAGTATGGTTTGTTTTTTTTTCATCTTGACCGCCATTAAGTTCATCATAATGTTTCTTCACCACCTGAAGATGATCTGAAACATCTAAAAACAAAGTATTTGTATTCATTAAATATTTATTGTTAGTGTTTGTATTGAGAGGATTCCTAATACTTTATATATTCTGTTTACCTGGCAATGAGCAGGTCTCAGTCTTGAGTGAGAAGTCAATGGATTCCTTCATGGTGTTCTCCAGTGTCCTCAGAACAGTTTCCTAATTTATTATCAAACCCTTTGTTAGTTTTTACAGCGGTAACTATTGAATCCAAGAATAACTGGACAAGAGATAAATTATTGACATGATATGTGTTTCAAAGCTACTTCGACATTTTTGCGCATCTCACCAAAATCAAGAAAATACATTCATATAATTTGTTGATTTTAAATTGTAACAAACCTTCAAATCGCTCAACTGCTCCAACATGGCATTTTTTGCCTCTTCAAACATGTACTTCCTTGAGTGCACATGCCTTTCAATAGTGTGTCTCATCTTCTTCAGGGTGCCTCGTCCTTCAAATGCTGCTGCTTCTACAAGGAGACAAAAAATATTTATGCACAGTTGAATGGAAATACAGTGGTCCCTCGCTATAACGCGGTTCACTTTTCGCAGCCTCGTTGTTTTGTGTATTTTTTTTTTGTGCAATTTTGCATGTTGTATTTTTTTTTTTACAGCACATTGTGTTCTGCGTCCTGATTGATTGACAGTGGTCTACAGCGAATCTCATGCTGTGTCTTCTGTACAGTACAGAATGCGCTCAGCTTGTCAAATGTACATAAATCTTTGATCGCTAACAGTGTAACTTTGAAGTGCTGCACTTAACGTAAGTTTTCTCTCCAATAAACATAAAAAAAAAATATGATGAAGCATATCTTGCCTTTGGACAGACATGGCCACTCTGTGTGAGGATCTTAATGTATTCTACGCTAGATTTGACACAACGAACACCACAAGACCGAACAGTGTACACACCGTGGATGACGTCAGTGTGCACACTGTCTGAGGAGGATGCGCAGATGTGATTCAGGAAGCTGAATGCACGCAAAGCTACTGATCTGGACGGGATCCCCGGCCATGACCTCAAGTCATGTGTGGCTCAGCTGGCTGAAGTGTTTACACACATCTTCAACCTTTCCCTCTCTGTGTCTGTAGTCCCAGCCTGCTTCAAAACGGCCACCATTGTCCCTGTACCCAAATCCAAATCACCTGTGCCCGCCTCCTGACCCCCCGCCTCCTGCCCGGCTCATCGACAGACACCCAGCCTTCACTGTCCAGCATATCCTGGATGTGCGGCGGCGAGGTAGAGGGCAGCAGAGCTGGGCAGATCGTTGATATTTGACCCTGTGATGATTTCTGACTTTTTAAGGTCAGAGGTGTGACCGGCCGCAAGGAGGCATCCAGTGTTTTTCAACAGAGCCGGCTGTTCCACCTCTGGGAGGAGCCACCGTGTTCCTGCTCATTGCTCTCACCTGTGGGTAATTAAGCCATCAACATATAAGGCCGGCGCTCTCAACTTCTCTTCGCCAGATTCTCACCTAACCACAGTTAGTGCAGACCACCCCTGTATTTTGTACACGTCATAGCAAACTACCTTGACGTCATAGCAAACCATACCTGAACTTATTTCAGTGGCTCTGACCCTTCCCTGGGACCCAGCCATCCAGTCTGACTCTCCCTTTGGCCCAAACAACAGTTGACACTTCACTGATTGTTTATGTAGCTCAAGTCGCAGAAGCGCTCCTTCATTTTGCTTTTGTTCTTAGCGCAAGTTAAAATACACAGCTCAGTTTTGTAGCCTTGTTTCCTTACACTTATTGTGTAAAAAACAGCAAAAAACATTTGGGAACCACTACCTTAATTCATTTCTTTCTTACCTCTATAGCATTTTTTCATATTATCCTTGATTGTCTCTGTCAGACTGTTGTAGATCAGTTTCTTTTGTGTGAGGATGGTTTTGTTGAGCTTTGCCTTTATTTTCTTTTCCTGAGAAACATGAAATATGGATTAACATTATTTAAAACAACATCAAGGTAAAATACGTACTAGTTCAGGGTTTAAATGACTTTCTAATAATAGATAAGCTATCAGGGTCATTAATAGGGAAGTTCTTTTACCTCTGTCTGGAGAAATATCAATTGCAGTTCAACATCTTTGTACTTTTCAATCAATGAATCAGTGCTGAGTGAAAACGCATCGATGGCGCCATTAAAATGTCCACATTTTACGTCATTTCTGAATGTGGTAAAGATATAGTTTATAATGGCAGTATTAGCAAGTTTATAATATAATACAATTTTATAATATAGTGCAATTTGGATACATGTATTATACATATTGGTGCTGTTCAGAATTAGATTATTCTCACGGGAAGGTCTTTCTGAATTTTTCATCAATGCTTTCAGTCAAGTAAGATGCTAAAGTCACGTTGAGGTTTTTTGGTTTTCCTTTTTTTGGTTTCTGGATCCCATCATTCCTAACTGCAGACTTTAGTGTCCTGTGAAAAGCTCCGTCACTCATTTTCTGAAACAAAGGAGTAGTTTTGAATTTTTTGTTTAAACATGGTAACAAAGTAACCTGTTTTTGATCTAATTGTAATTAAAAACATACACTGGGGTGTAAGAAGGACTTCAGTTTTTTTTCACATAAATTTTGGGATTTTTCAACTCCCTCACTTAGGCGTTGTTCAAAAGCTTTTATAATTTTTTCAATTGCTTTTTTGACTTGATTAAGTTGGATGAACAACTTCCCCTCAAGGAGATCATACAGATCGTTTTTTTGTTCAACCTGAAAAAAAGAAAGATCATTATTTAGGGCAGTAAAACATAACATATTGGTTCTTTACTCATTTTTGAGGGGATCTTGACAAACTCAGGTTTTTAACATGAAGCTCATGCATAAGTTCAGTCAGATAAGTCTGTCATCATTCGACTGCCTCTGTCTATTCTTCAGCTCACTTCCATTTTCCCACACTATCGACCTCATTACTCTAGTCAATGATTTTTTTTTTCTGCAAGCAAGTTTTTGCTTGCAGCAAAACAGCTTCTGTTCTCTGTGCTTTTATCTGCTCTTCTGTCATTCTGCCTTTCAGATTCTCAATCATGCAACTCGCCTCCTCCCCATCATGCATTTTTATGAACTTTAAAAAGATTATGAATGAGGCTTTATTGCCTGCTCTTACCACTTCTCTTATTGTGGCTCCTTGAATCAAAGACAGAATTCCATAAGCTCCAGACACATAGTTTAAGGTCTCTGAATGAGTGTCATTTAGATTTTTCAAAATTTCCTTAAGTTTTGGTATTTCTGTTAAAAAATTGAAAAGGACATGAATCTGAGCAATACATTTTCTGTTACACAAAAACATACCTTATGTCGCTGTATGTTCATTCATAAAGTGACTTCACCTACCATTGTGATCTGGATTTGCATTCTCCCCTTTAAGGAACTCTGTGGAGCTCACTGTGAAGACTTTGAAACTATCCTCACTGAAGTGATTCTGAGAACATTTTTGATGGTTAGTTTTTCTTTTTGGGGCAGAAGATAGAAGATATTTGTTTTAGATTTTGCTGTCAGATTATAAATTTACCTTAATTAATTTCCGCCTTTTGAATTCATTCATCACTGCACTCTTGATTTTCTTTCTTTTATAAAGGAAAGAAAAATTGGATGTAAAATTAATTTACTGTTAGTATTGTAATGGAAAATTTTGATTATTCTCATTTAAGCTGTAAGCATTTGAGTGCATACTCAGTTGTGTTTTTAAATATATTTTGTAAAGAATATTATACATTGCATATTGTGATATTAGGACCAATATCTCATAGAATGTAATAATAATATATTAGACATTCCTTATAATGTCTAATAATGTTTTATTAGATGAAAATAAGCAATATTAGCATACCTGTAAAATCGCAAATGATAGTTCTAAAATTAATTTGTCATTTGTATCAAAGTGTGGCCTACTACAATGGGAAACCTTAGCTTCTGTTGTAATGGACATCCTCAGTCTTAAATTAACATGAGTGAAGTGTATGATCACCATGTGCATCTGTGCCAATCTTTCTTTGTAATTTGCATTTTTGGCGTATTTGACTTACAGATCATCTGGGTTTTCATGATCTGACTTGGTGCAGATAAAATGAATTTGCTGACACTCGCCACCATTTCCCAGCAGGCTACTGGCATTTTCCAGGATCTCCCAGGCTTCTTTTTCTGATGCTGCTTGATTCATTTCAGTCACAATCCAGACAGCTGAACAACTGGCAACAAACTGGAAATGAAATAAAAGTATGTAAATTATAAATAACTAATGCTTTGATGAAAGATGACATGACTTCTGTGAATTACCCCTGTCCACATTCTATCTCTGCTTCTGTTAGAGTCACCATTTGCAGGAAGGTCCACAAGTGTGACATGATCAAGAAAATCATTGTCTGGCACTTTGACAGTCACACACTTCACAAGCGGCCAGTACCACCTCTTTACTTCTTCTGTCTCATTTGACTCACTTCTTGTGTATTTCACAAATTTTTCAGACAACCCTTCAGCCTGCAAAATAGTAACAGGATGAATTACATTAAAATAAAGACATTTTAATGTATGTGCTCATAACAAAGGTTTTATAAATTGCATGAAAAAGACGTTTCTTTTTTTTAATAAAAAAACAAAGCTTTTTTAGATTTTACTGTGGATCACACTAAGTGGACTGGTTATTATATGGTGCTCTCTTCTACTACATGGGTGATCGTGGCTCAAGAATTGGGAGTTCATCTTGTAATCGGAAGGTTGCCGGTTCGAGCCCTGGACAGTCTCGGTCGTTGTGTCCTTGGGCAAGACACTTCACTTACTGCCTACTGGTGATGGCTAGAGGGGCCAATGGTGCACTATGGCAGCCTCGCTTCTGTCAGTCTGCCCCAGGGAAGCTGTGGCTACAACTGTAGCTTGCCTCCACCAGTGTGTGAATGTGAGAGTGAATGAATAGTGGAATTGTAAAGCGCTTTGAGGGCCTCAAAAAGCGCTATATAAATGCAATCCATTATTATTAGTATGTAAACATTTAAAGCACTTTTTACAACTTGCCTCATTACCCCAAACACTTTTTTCTAGGTATGCTTTTTCTAGCTAACATTTACAAATATTCACACTCTGATGGATGCATTGAAGATCAACTGGGGGTTGGTAGATATTTGGCATGCAGACTCAGGGGAGCCATGGATTGAAGCTCTGATTAATAGGCGACCTGCTCAACCTCCTGAGCTACACCCACTGAGGCAACAGTAATTGCATTAGCATGTGAATTAGTAGCATAGGCTAATGAATCTTTACGGTTTTATGATAAGCTGAGCCAGTCAGCAGACTTCAAGTCTAAAATACTGTGCTATGTTTTTTTTTGTTTTTTTTACTTCTGTATACAAATGTGAAACTCTTGAACACCTCCACAAAGAAAACTTCAAGCTCAACAGTAACAGGATAATCAGACAGCAACAGGATAGCGAACCATAAAATTTTAACCACCACAATTGTTACTTGTTTTTTTTCCCCGTTTGTTGGGTGCCAAACATTTTGAATGGAATTTCTCAGGTGGCACATCAACACATTGCCGACATATATCTGCTCAGCAATACACTGGGGCAACATCTGCTTCACCAGTGCTTTTTTTCTGTCTGCACTTTCCAAGGTAGGGAGGCATTAAATAGCATTGACATCATCTTTATACTGAAAAGGTGCAGCATCACCGTAGCTTAACACTTCTTTAGTGACTTCCTACTGCTCTCTATGTGATGTTCATAAGCCACACATTGATCTTGTATCTCACCAAAACTGTGGTCTAATATATGCTTTAAACTGCAAGTATTCCTATGTTCTACAGGAGAAGAACTTAATTTTATTTTGGTCTGTATTACTGCACACTTACTGAGTCACTTTTCAAAATTTTTGTCTTGGATGTTCGAAACTCTGGAATATCTATGAAATATTTGTTGTCCATGAGGTTGTGAGGGGATCTTTCTTTCCACTCTTCTCCATACAGCGCTGATAACTTTTCATCAGCATCAAAAAAGTCATCATTACCACCACCACCATCATCATCATCATCATCATCATCATCATTATCGTCGTTGTCTTCAAGAACCTCTTTTAGTGACTTCAACTCACTTTTCCAATCCTTAAAAAAATAAAATGAAATTGCATCTTGAGTTTTGCAGCTACATTGTAGCACATTACTTTACTTCAAGAATCACTGTGTTCATATTTCATTCTACCTCTTTTGTAATGAACTCGATGTGTGCCTCATACTTTGATCCACTGGTAGCCTCCACCTTTATCATTACTGAGGTACATGCACTGACACTTCCAGAAGGCAACAGGCCCTTCTTATTTATGATGGCATTGATTAAAGAGCTCTTTCCAGCCCCAGTTTTACCAAAGACACCAACCAGGTGCCTCTTTTCTGTCTCCAGATCCTTGGTTTTATCCCTGTTGAAAAAGTTTAAATATGGATTAACTGATCCAGTCTCAGAAACAAACTGAAAATGTGGCAAAATCAGAAAGATTTGTTTTTGAAAATTTGTTTTTAAAAATCATTAGAATATTTATTGTTGTCTTTTGTTTTATTTTAAAGTCTCTGAAGACTACATACATGCAAAACATGAAATATTAATCAGTATTCAAAAGCTACTGATCACCTCTAAAAACTGAGATTATGGTTTCTGGTACAATTCACCTTAATACTGGAATGAACTGCATCACAGCTGCATGTTGAGCTCTGATTTTAAATCTTTAGTATCTCTATTATACCAAATTACAGCAAAATGTTCCTCCATTTCTTTGTTTCTTTTTGGTACAACTTACTTTCTAGCATTTTTGCCCCCTTCCTAATCTTTCTGAGACATGTTGACATCAAATACAATATGACCTTATTTTTTTCTTAAAATGGTGCATTTTCTCATCTTAAGAATTTGATATGTTTTTGTCATCTATTGTCAATACACTTTCAGAGTAAAAGATTTCATGAATGTTTTTATTTTCATTTGACAGATGTCCCAACTTTCTTGGAATTGGTTGGAACAACATCCAACAAAAATAGGAAATCTTTTTTACTCACTTTAGGAAAGCACTGAGCTTGTCACGGCCATGTAGTCCTTCACTGACATGTTTCATTATGTCTTTGACATCAGACAGTATTTCTGTTTCTGTCAGAGTGAAAGTGAAGAACTAATAAGTAGGAACCAGGAACCAGTGTAATGCAAAATGTGGCCCACTGATATCCAAAGCAGGAAAACGTGTGAGGATTTTCACATGTTTATACTGTATGGCTATTTTTTTTTAAAATGCCCATTAGTATTTTTCATTATATATTTATGTATGTACCTGACTGTGATCCTGCTGTACAGTTGTATTGTTGTTTAGGAGCTGGTTGCCATTGGCTGAACTCACCCTGAAGATGATCTGACTTTCTCTTTCTTTTTTGGATTTCTTTTTTTTTTTTTAAAGAAAGAGAAAAAAAAGAACAGTTTCTCTCAAGATTGAAACTTCTGATAACACAGGTCAACAAAATTTCTTTTTGTAGTCATCAGAAACCACAATACACTTTTCTAAACCAGCTTTTTAAATTATGACTAATTCAAAGTTTACTAAAACTAATAATTTAAACTAATTATAGTTTGCAATGGACTTGCATGCAGTTTTTATTAAACCGCACGGACAGATCAAGTAACTGTTTCAATATTTTCATTGTGAAGTCAGATAGATGCACACTGTCGCATAGATATAATGATCAGGGTCAGTCAGCTACCACTGTTTCTTCAAAAAGAGATTTTCTTGTGTATACTGTGTCTGGATTGTCAGGCAATGGATCATCATGAGGAACAGGCCTTACTGCAGAATCCAGGCTGGGATATACAATTTTGTGCTTATTTTCAGCTGAGAATCTTGTATTGGCGCGGCAAAAACAGCAATCATTGATGATCTTGTGGTTCCTGCCACATTATCGGGACTTCAAATGGTATTGCTACCCTTTGTAGATTTAGCCAGTCATGCAGTCCATTGGAACACTTAGTCCTGCTCGGCCAGTGGAGAGCCAAAGTACAATTTATATATCTTCTTAAGGTCTGTGGTAATGGGGCGACATTATGCTTTCAAACTTATCTCTGATGATTTTGACCTGTGTAATTAAGTTTAAAAGCTGCAAAAATACTACTGTGAGAATAAACATATTAGATGCAATAAAATGAGAACGACAGACATTTTTCTTACCCTTTTCACTTTTGGATGGCGAATCCTGAGGATGAATAGAAATATTTGACTTTCATGTTTGAAATTAAACTACTATAGTTGTACATATATGCATAATTGAATTTATACAGGAAATTATAGCACCTGTATAGGGACACATTGCTCTTTAACAAACTTAAAAAAACAACAACAACAAAAACAACTTTCACATGCACTTTTTACAGTGTGCAAACCATGTAAAAATAAGTATACAGACTTACATTCTCCAATAGTACAACGATTAAAACATGAAAACCTTTCATATCCTTTCCTCTCAATAAACATGATCCCATGAGTCAATGTTTCTGCCTCATTCAGAACCAGTGACACAGACCTAGAGACCAGTTGGTAACCACCAGCTCCTAGAGTAAAATGTGTGCTCAAACATGAGGCAACTACATCAGTTTAGTGTTCAGTGGAGGTTGTAAGGATTTTAGGTTGCCGGCTGGTCTCTAGGGTTGTGTGACTGGAGCTTTACTTTGACTTAGGTCACCTTAGTGTATATGTATGACAAATGAAGGCATGCTGGTTCATTATCTGAAATTCAATAATCCTTAGCCAATCCAAATCAGCTGTTTCTTTAGACTCTTGTTTGCAGAGCAGGTAAGGTTAAGTGCAAATCAATGTAAAATGAATACTTTAAAAATGTAAGTTACAATACGGATATTGAAGAGGAGTGTCATGAAACATGAAACTTACTTCAACAGAAATATTAACTGCTTGCTTTTGTGGTTGAGTTGTATTTTGCTCTTCCTAACATAATGAAAACATTGCAAATCCATCAGCAAAAAATAAAAGAATTTTTGTGAATAATATTGCTATCACAGATACATTGAAAGTTAAAGTAGTTTGCACATAATAATTCTACAACAAATTTATCTGTAAGCATTAACAAGAGTGAGATTTTTCCAGACAAAAGGAAAGAAATGTTGAAGGATTTATTTACCTTTAACAGCTTTAGTTTATTGTTGAATTTCACTCTAGGTCCAGCTTTTGTGATCAATTGATTAATTTCCTGATCATCAAGATGATATAGACTTTCCTCATCAATTTCTTGAGCTGTAATAAAATTAAATAGCAGAAAAATTTATTATTTATAAAATTACTTGAGAAGTACTTTTTTTTTTTTTCAGGAGATTCCAGTCTTAGGACATTTTCTTTTGCTTACACATTTTGTGTAGTAAATATGCAAACCGCAAGTGATTTTCTACTCCCCAAGCATAGACAACATTCAAAACTGATCATGCTATAGTATGAACACCATTTAAATGTGTATTAATAGGCCTTATTTTTCAGAGTTAAGAGAACGTATAAGTATCAATAACTGTAGCCATCACTAATTCACAGTAATATTTACCTTCAAATGCCTCAATCCATTCACTTAGTTTCCATTCAGTCAGTTTGTTTCGCACAAAATCATCCATGACCAAGAATAGAAACTGTAAGATAAATTGTAATTTCTGATCCTGTTAAGGTGAACGAGCGGACTCGAGCGCAGATCTCTGAACGGTTTCAATTAAAGAGAGTTTATTTACAGTGACACCAGGCGCTTTAAACAACCGTGCAGGGCAACTGGTGCTCCCGGGAATCCAGGGAAAAGTGAACACGTCCAAAACTCCTCTTCTCACTCGCCAGTCACTCACACGTCCTCTTTGTATGATACACGACGTCCACATACGAATATCCTAACTCACGACAAAGTCAAGGTAAAACAGGCAGGGGACCAGGAGGGTCTGTACAGGGGGAGAGAACACAAATTTGAGATCCACGGAAACACGACTACGGAAAGCGCGATAAACCAGAGACAGCCTGTCAGTTTTTGGCACAACACCTGTACTACACTGACTTAAATGGTAAAACGATATGTGACAAGTAGCACAGAGCCGCCGCCCTGCCCAGCCGGTGAGTGCGTAGGCAAAGCGCGTGAACCACTGACTGTAGAAAATGTGGGCGACCTGACAGCTTCCCATAAGGCTGGCTATATTATAGATCATGTGAGATTATAATATTATTTTATGCCATGTTAGACCCTTAATTAAAGATTGTGAATTATTATGTAGTTTTAGTTCATTCTCCTGAATTAGAAGGTGATAACTATTGCATCTGTTAAACTGATTTGCATTACATTAGACTGCTGATTTATTGTGAATGGATGATATTGTTTTCTGATGCATTATACTGCTGAGTTATAAGAAATACTGTTCGCAGAAAGTCATCGCCTTATTTGTCTGATTAGAAGAGAACAGAACATGCTGGAGTTTTCTGCCCCATCTCAGCAGGAGCAGATAACCAGGGAGCCAAGGTCGTAGCTTAGGCGCTGTGTGAGAGAAGGAATGTGAATGTTTAGGCTTTTATGATTAGGGGGGGGGGGGGGGCACTAGAGGCTATAAGAGTTTGATCAATGCTCCACCATTTTGAGATCTGATGCTGTCTGCGTACGGTGTCCATCTCCCACGCGTGTGATCATTAAAATCATCGTTTGACTCAACCCGGCCGGACCAGTGTTGTTATTGTGTTTTTTTCCTCTTGTATCCATCCCCAATATTTGAATCCATAACAATCATAAACCCCCTCAGATTTTTTTTCTTGAGTTGCATTCTGCTATTTTAAGTAATTCTTATCACATTAATTTGGGTTTAAGGGGTCGTTTTTCTCATAACTTTATTTTAATAATTAACTAGATCAAAGGTGTCGAACTCCAGACATCCAGGGCAGGTGTCCTGCAGGTTTTAGATGTTTTCTTGATTATGTAAACCGTGAGAAGCTTACATATCTTGTGCAGAGCGGGCGTATTCAGTATGAACTGGTTTTAAAACTGTCAAAACGAGTTGAGCATTAAATTACACTAATGGATGGACTGATGGATTATTGCAGTTTTTCTAAGTCTAACCTGCTTCTTAAGATAATACATGATTTAATTTGCTACTTAGCAATTGTATTACATTAAATATGCATAAAAAGCAGTGCTAGCTAGCAGTTCTTTATTTTATTTAAGTAAAAAGTCCTAGTTGATTATCTTGATCTATCCAGTTTTGTCAATGAAAAAAGAGTAATTTACCTAAGAAGCTTATAAATGATCTATGAAAACATGGCTTGCTCACAGTTAATGACATAGTTAGATATTGTTGTCTATTCAAGACTTTAATAGAGCTCCGTAATTTAGGTTTTTAATGTTGAAATACTTTGTCCAGCTGTCGTGGTCTGTTCATTGTTTGTACATTTAAAAAAAAAAATCAAATTGTGTATACGGCTGTTCAACCAGAATAGACCTTTGTTAGTAAGCACCAGAAATTCTGTTGGTTTAGAAATATTATGTTTTAGATTAACTGGTGACGGTCAAGAGCTACTGCCGACAAACCGGGAAGTAATTAAATATTTCGTTTTTTTAAATTATTTCATTTCCTCGTTTGTTTTATAACCACAACAAAGTCTGCTGCTGCTATGCTTTTGGGAAAAAAGAGAATGTGAGTACGGACTCGCGATTTGTACAATTGGAATGCCAGCGTACTTGATGATGTCACAGGTCTGGAGTTTTTACTGCCGTCCCCTCTTAATTTAACTGTGAGTAATATGTTATGAAGCTTAACTTTAATCACAGCCAAACCGGTTTACTCAGGAAAAAATAAAACACTCAAATAAACCAAACATTAACATTTAGAAGTGATCTAAGTGACTTATATATCATGTTTAACCTCAGTAGTGAAATCTCTATTAATAAAAATAGTGTACGTGTACATACCTTAATAAAAACAAGCAGGTGAGATGTTAGAACGCTTTTATTTTTATTTTAGTGGACACTCAATACAATAGACAGCTACTGGGGTTTGGGGTTTGTTTAACCTGAGTAGCGAAAATACCGCAGGGGGGTTGAAAACGATGTGTCGGGAGTCCGCTGTTCTCGCCGGTGTTCCAGATCAACTGGCGTTTAGATCAACTGGCGTTGGTCGAACAGATGTGTTGCAGTCTTGCGTTTCAGGAGCTGCTACCGACAAACCAGCAAAAAAAACGCCAAATGTGTCATCTGTGACACTTGTGAGGTTGTCTCAAACACACTCCGTCAGTCTTGATGCTGTTGAACAACAAAATGTATAAAAATGTGGCGAGTTTACCTGGTGATATCCTCACGCGCGACGCGATCGCGAAAACAGCAAACAAGTAACACCACGCCGATGTTGTTCACAGGACAGCAAGAGTAAACGATCGGGAGACTCTTGTCGTCGTAATCGTCCCCCTCGCACGGTTTATTTCTCCGAATTCAGCGTTTTTGCTTCACAACTACAGCGTGCTGTTTACTTTGTGCACTAACATGGAGTCGAGTCAACCAGCGCCACCTCTGGCCAAGTGCCACAGCCTACAGCCAGATCAACCTGTGACACACATCTGCAGCACGTTTGAATTCGTTACATGCACATTTGTACCTTTCAATTGTGTCTGTTTGTGCGTCATGCAAATAAACCTTTGAAATGAATGAAATGATATCATGTATTTATTATCAGCCTACATTTGTACAAAATGCCAAATTATATACACAAAGTCATAGAAATCACCACTCCAATTGGTCATCATGATTTTGATATTCTCTTTTTCCATAACAATGAAATACGCCTTGGACAAATATGACACATCAATATTTCATTAGTGTTGTAACATCACATCCTGTAAGCATCGTCTGTCTGTGTCTTTTCCCTGAAAATGAATATTTCCAGCCAATATAGGCAATCCATCAACATGGCTGGAGTTATATACAGTCTGTATAAGTGTGGTTAATCTAATGAACATTTGTAAGGAGACGGCAGTTACTGTGAATTCACAGCAGTTACACAGTGATTAGTAATAAACAGAGCCAGTGAGAGTGAGTGGATATGACTGTTCCCACCACTAACACATGACCATAGCCCACTACTAGATTAACTTGTGACACATCTGCACCTGCTGCTATGATCACAGTGAGTAGAGGCTGAGTGGCTGCACTAACCCCTGGTACATCTAAATCTACCCACAAACATGTTGAAAGATGCAATCCCAGCAATGTGGATTGTCAACACTAAAAACAATCAGTAAGCAAAGACAACAGGGATCACTTTTTTCTGTTTATTTAGCACCCACAACATTTGTAGTCGCCTTCTGCACAAGGGAAGTCCACACACACCGTGTGGTACCACTTTCCACAGAAGGTGCATTCAGTCTGCAAGATTGAATGAGATTGTCAGAGTCATTGTCTGACTGTTTATTACTAATCACCTGCTGTACATTCACAGTAACTGTCATCTCCTTATAAATGTTTATTAGATTGACCACACTTATGCAGACTGTATATAACAACCAACTCTAACATGTTTGTTTGCAGAGAAAAGACACAGACAGACTACGCTAACGACATGTGATGTTACAACACTGGTGAAATATTAGTGTGTTCACGACATTTTTCGTATGGGCAAAAGTATTGATATCAGGATGGTGATTCTTATGTGTATGTCATTTGGCATTTTGTACAAATGTAGGCTGATAATAAATACATGATATCATTTCATTCATTTCAAAGGTTTGTTTGCATGACGCACAAACAGAGACAATTGAAAGGTACAAATGTGCATGACACGAATTCAAACGTGGTGCAGATGTGTGTCACAGGCTGATCTGGCTGTAGGCTGTGGCACTTGGCCAGAGGTGGCGCTGGTTGACTCGACTCCATGTTAGTGCACAAAGTAAACTGCTCGCTGTAGTTGTGAAGCAAAAACGCTGAATTCGGAGAAATAAACCGTGCGAGGGGAACGATAACGACGACAAGAGTCTCACAATCGTTTACTCTTGCTGTCCTGTGAACAACAACGGCGTGGTGTTACTTGTTTGCTGTTTTCGCGATCGCGTCGCGCATGAGGATATCACCAGGTAAACTCGCCACATTTTTAAACATTTTGTTGTTCAACAGCATCAAGACTGACGGAGTGTGTTTGAGACAACCTCACAAGTGTCACAGATGACACATTTGGCGTTTTTTTGCTGGTTTGTCGGTAGCAGCTCCTGAAACGCAAGTCTGCCACACATCTGTTCGACCAACGCCAGTTGATCTAAACGCCAGTAGATCTGGAACACCGGCTCTAATAATCCTCGACCTCGCTGTCTGCTATGGAGCTGGCGGGTCACAGACATCTCCGAAAACGTCGGAGCACGTTTGGAAATATATGATATCTTGATAAATCGAGCAGATATTTGAAGTTTACACAGCTACATTCTCGCTTGAAAATAACTTAAAAGTTGATTTTGTGACCCATAAAGAGTAATATTTAAAAGTTTTTGAGTTTTGGACGAAATGCATTCTGGGATATTTAGCTGTGCCAAGTCTGTCACTACCCGATCCGTACCGGAAACCCGATCGGTACCCCGCATGCGCAAATCTTACGTCACTTCCTCTCTTTGCCAACATTGCGACATTCAAGATATTTGAATGATACGGTTAGCGCCCAGTTAACCTCTAGCATTTCTCAACAGCTCTGCCTCCTTTTCGACTACCGGGACATTTAAACAATGGATAATCCGTATCCGCAACAAATTTTTGCTTTTCTCCTCAACAGAGAGCGTTCCCCGATTGAACAACAGCGCCGTAAAATAAGAATCAAATCAAATCAAATCACTTTTATTGTCACATCACATGTGCAGGTACATTGGTACAGCTGGTACAGCTTCACAAGCAACAGAGTTGTGCAAATACAATAGTGTAAACAAGCAAAATACAAGAATGGCTACATCTGAAACTAATAAATATATTTACAATATATAATAGTATATGCATTTCTGGATGTGTATACTAAATATT